ACATTTAGTTTGTTTGCAATATGGTCACCAACGTAATGACCGTTTCACTTCGTTAGGGTAAATTATATAAATGGTCACTAAACTTTTCATGCGCTTGCATTTAGGTCCCCTCAACTTTTAAAACCTACAACACATTCATCAATTATATTTTAAATCCCAAATTCCAAAACATTTCAATTACATTCTAAACCTCAAATTCCAAAATACTTCAATTATATACCCAACCCCAAATTCATAATCCATTCTCAAAATCTTCCATAACAAACTGAACTTTAAGTAATAACCATAAACCCTCAAAACATAACCCTAGATGGTAAATTTCCCCACCAATTAACCCAACATAATCAACAACATTTTGTTCATTTTTGGGTCCATAACAATAAGTGATTATGTTGGGTTTAGGATTTAAAAGTTATATTTAACCAACTATAAGTGAACAATACTCAATTCAATTCAATTTTTTTTCGACTTGAATTAATTCAAAAATTTTGATACAAATTAACTTTGAGTTGTAATTTCATAAACTCAACTTATAAAAATTTCAAGTTAAAATCGAGTTGTAAAATACATCTCGAATATCTCAAAATTTTTAGTAATTAGTGGATTAATTTTTAAGTTTGAGTCAAGTCCCTTGACTCTGTATGATATATGTATACCACGTATGGAAAAAATATGAAGAAATATATGTATTGTATATGGTTAATGTTATAGTATTATAAATATTTATAATTAAATTTAAATAGAAACTTGAAAATTTTAAACTCAAATCGGAAAAAAATCGAGTCAACTATTTTATAAACTAAACTGAATTAGAATAAAATAATATTATAATATGATAAATATTTATAATTAAATTTAAACAGAAACTTGAAAATTCAATTCAATTTGATTTGATTTAAATTTTATAAACTAAAATTGAAAAAAAATCGAGTCAACTATTTTATAATCTCAATTGAGTATTTCGGTCCAATATAACTCTAAACCCAACATAATCACTTATTGTTCACTTATAGTTGGTTAATTTTTTTTAAACGATTATGTTTTGAGGGTTTAGGTTTGTTGTTTCATGTTCAGTTTGTTATGGCAGATTTTGAGAATGGATTATGAATTTGGAGGTTTAGAATGTAATTGAAGTATTTTGGAATTTGGGGTTTAGAATGTAATTGATGATTGTGTTACAAGTTTTAAAAGTTGGGGGACCTAAATGCAAGCGCCTGGAAAGTTCAGTGACCATTTATATAATTTACCCTAACGGTAGTGAAACAGACGTTACGTCGGGGACCATATTGTAAACGAACTAAATATTTAGTGACTGTATTGCAAGTTTTAAAAGTTGGGGTATCTAAATGCAAGCATTTAAAAAGTTCAGTGACCATTTGTATACTTTACCCTTATATTAAAGGGAAATTTTTTATTTTAATTCCTACATTTTTACTTTTTACTATTGATAACTTTTTTATTCATATCAATATCTATTTTTTGTTATATATATATATATTTATAAATTTCCATGTTTTAGTTATTAAGAAGACAAAAGTGTCTCTTTCTACTAATATTTTAGAAGATTGTTGTCAATTTTTTTTATAATTTTTTTAAAATTTTAAATTTCTAATGTTTATTTTATTAAGAAGACCAAAAAGTATCATTTTTATTAATATTTAAAAAAGATTATTGTAGTTTTTATAAACTAAATTGATATTTAATTAGTTTATTTTATTAATCTAATAATAAACTAAATATTAATAAAAATAGCATTCACTAAATAATAATTTATAAGATAAATTATATTAATCACTTAACTATTATTTTTCTATTTTGATAATATTTTTACAAAAAAGATTTCATGACAAAATAATAATAATGTGATAACTACCTATATAATTTATCTTAAATTAGTTAAGAATCAAATTCATTAAATATTCATAATGATTAAAGAGAATGGTGTTTTCTCTTAAAATCTTTTTTTAATAGAGGCAGTTGGTATTATTAAAAAGTGAATATCTAAGATTACAATAAAAGTTTACAACTATCATTGTAAATTAAATACATAATTTGGACATTTTCCTATAACATTGAAACTAATCACTTTAGATCATATAAGGATGTATATGGAAAAGGTTAAAAACTCAACCAAAAGACTCGAACAAAACATAAATACAGATAAATCTAACTGTACGAATCATAAGAGGAAATTAAGCTATTGAAAGACTACTGAGAACTGTAAATCAGAGCTGAGCGTTGTGAAAAACTATCAACGATTGCAAAATCACGTATCCAAATTCAATTCGAGGGTCAATGGCAAGGAAGATCAACTGGAAAAAAACATAAAATAAAAAGAACGGTCAAATGACTGAAAAATAAGACAAAACGAGTCACATAGACAGAGATAAATGTGTCATAAAGGCAGAATTATTCTTATTAAAAACTAAAAAATAAAATAAGAGAGAAGAGAACTGGCGGTCGACAATCAACATCAAAATCGATGTCGTCGTTGATTAAATAAAATTAAAGAAAAAAAGTTAATCTAATCTATAGAAAATGATATAAACTTTAAAGAAAAAATAAAGAATAAGAAAAGAAGGGAGCAGGGAAATTTTAAATTCAAGTAATGTTTATATAATATAGTATGGATTATTAATTATTAAATAATATTATAAATAAATATTATTTTATAATCATCTCATATTAGTATAAGCCTACAATACATGTCACATACTACAACATACCACGAAACACGCCTTAAGAAAATTTGTTCTTATTATGTAAATATTAAAAAATATAAGAATTTGTTTAAAATTTAATTATAGTTTTAATAAAATTATAATAAAATTATAATTTTTAAAAAAATAATAATTAATTTAATCTTTTTAGAATTAATAATTTAAAGTTATATAAGTTAGAACCTGCCATTAGCATCAGTCACCTTTGGTGACCACTTTCACTCATCGAAAAATCAAGTGCTACAACATTCGTGCTTGAGTTCGCCTAAAATCATCTGCTCATGTATTTTTAATAAAAATTAGGTAAATTATACATTTAGTACCTAAACTATTACTTTATTTCATTTTAGTACCTCAACTTTCAATTTTTTCAAAACCATACATAACATTTACTTTTTGTTTCATTTTAGTACCCCACCATTAAAAAGTTAATGGCACATTTGAAGTGGTATTTTTTTATTTGGGTAAACTACACAATTCATCACTTAATTATCTTCTCACTCTATTTGATCACTAAAGTTTAAAAAATTAGAATTTAATCATTAAACTTTTGAATTGCTTATATTTTGATCCTCTAGGAATATATTATTATTATTTTTAGTATGCCATGATAAATTAATTAATATCTAATATCAAATAATATTTAAAATAAAAATAAAATGTTATAATTTTAATCCAACCCTTAATCTCCAAACCCCAATTGTCAATCCAAACCCCAACCCTACCGACATCACCCTCCAATCACCACATAAGAATCCATTGAAAAAATCGTTTGTGAACCAGAAACAAATGAACACAGAGAAACAAATTTAAGTGTAAAAAATACAACAACCACCATCACCTCAACAAAGAGAAGTTAAGAAAAATGTAAACATTGCTCAATACTCATAATTGAAACAACAAAAAAAGCTTAAATTTTTTATATAAAAACAAAAATAGTAACAATAAAAGGAAAAGCGCATGAAGTGGATGAGAATAAAGTTGTCATTCATGCTTCCTTATTTCGTCTTAAAATGTTGTAGTTCCAGAAAAAGTATAACTAAAATAAAGAAGAGATAAAGAGTATGAAACAAAAACAAAACAAAACAAAAAATCTAGGTTTTTGTTTATACTTATTTTCTTGCATTCTCTCTCATTTTCTAGGCAAATAAAGATAACTCATTTCACTAGATCACCAACCAAACAAAAGCAACATTACCCCCTTTTTACTTTCACAGACCTAATCATAAAATTAAAATGAAAAGAATAAAAAAAGGAGAACAATAACTTGATGAAGATAGGTATGGACTGTGAGGTTTTTTTGTTTGTGTGTATAGTTTTACTCAATCGTAGCAACGCCTCATTCAAAGGAAGAGAATTTAATGAAAGAAAAAAAAAATTGCTAGTATGGGTTTTTGGGTATTCTTTGTTTCATGAAGATGAAGTTAAGGATGAGTTTAGATTGGCGTTGGAGTTTGGAGATTTAAGATTAACATTAAGGATTTTGATTTTAAATTTTATTTGACATTAATAAAAATAAATTTGTCATATCGTACTAATAATAATAATAAAATAATCCACATCATCATGAGAGATCAAAATACAAGTAATTTGAAAGTTTAATGATTAAATTAAAAAATTTTAAATTGTAGTGACCAAAATAGAAGTGAAAATATAGTTAAGTGATGAATCATGTAATTTACTTAAATAAAAAATATCGGCCGTCAGTTTTTTAACAGTTGGGCACTAAAATGAAATAAAAAATAAACGTTAAGTGTGATTTTGAAAAAAATGAAAGTTGAGGTATTAAATCAAAACAAAAGTGATAGTTTAGATAATAAACATATAATTTACCTTAAAAATTATAATTTGATTATAATTCTATTAAAATTATAATTAATTTTTAATAAATGATTAATTTAAATAAATTTTTATATTTTTTAATATTTACATAATAAAAATAAATTTACTTGCGATTATTTTAGTATATCACTTTAGTGATACATGCACTGTAGAATTTTCGTCTCAGGTTATTGAAAGAAAAACGTAGAATCCAATCCTTACCCAAAAGGAGAAAACGACAATCCCTATCATTTGTCTTTTTATGGTCAGAAGTCCCTTCCAAATGTCAAAAAGGTATCAAAGAAAGCAGTGCCACGCCCCAACACGTGTTTTCCTCTTCCTAAACCACACTGCATGTAACGGCAGCACATATCTATTGCTTCCTCCATATCGTCACTCATTATTCGCTTTCCTTTGAGGCATTTTATCAGACATTTCTTTTTGATCCTGGGAAAATCTTAGTGATGGCGGATTTAGTTAACTCGTTTCTCAACTTAGCGGTGCCCCCTGCCACCATGATGATGCTGGCCTTTTCATGGCCCGCCTTGTGCTTTATCAATGCATGCGAATGGCTTTACAACACCTTATATACTACAGAGAATATGGATGGCAAAGTTGTTATAATCACCGGTGCTTCTTCTGGTATTGGAGAGGTAAATCATATTCTCCGTTACACACATTAGTATAGCCATTCTTTTTAAGTCTCAATATCATCAAGTATTGTGTTGTTGTACATGGTTTATGAATATTGCAGCAAATTGCATATGAATATGCAAAGAGGAGGGCAAATCTTGTGTTGGTCGCGAGGAGAGAACAACGGCTTCGTGCCATTAGTGAGAAAGCTAGGTATATTGGTGCAAACAGCGCCATGGTGATTGCTGCAGATGTTGTCAAGGAAGATGAATGTAGGAGATTTGTTAATGAAACCATAAACTTCTATGGGCGTGGTAAGTTACATCCTTATGCTTAGTTTCGACGACAGATTATGATTTGGTATTAACCTTATTCTTATAATTATAGATGTTTTGATTATGTTTGCATATGTGTGATAAATTTCCATACACATTTGTTGTGCCTAAAAGTAATTCAACTGTTAAGAACCTGAACTTACAGAGTGGCGTAAGAGAGATGTTGTTCTACTTATAATTATAATCATCCGGGCAGTACATTTCATTAACTGCATGAAGCTCAAATCGTTTTTGTATTCACTCTGTTTTGTTTCTGATACTTTATCTTGCAGTGGATCATCTGGTGAACGCAGCAAGTTTGGGACATACGTTCTACTTTGATGAAGTTGCGGACACCTCAGTGTTTCCCATTTTGTTGGTAAGCCTCAAATAGCTGCCATTGTGTAATCTTTGAGGAGATTCCTTTTGCCCCTTAATCAAGTTTTTTTCTTAAGGAGTTGTTGGTTTGTTAATTTTCAGGACATAAACTTTTGGGGAAATGTTTATCCGACATTTGTTGCTCTTCCGTACCTACAGCAGACTAATGGTCGAGTCATTGTGAATGCTTCGGTGGAGAACTGGCTACCATTGCCGAGAATGAGTTTGTATGCTGTGAGTATATATAACTTTACTACATCATAAACATCACATGCAAATATCTAGATTCTAGTCATTTTGGTATCTTAATAGATAGAACTTGCTGTTAATTCCATTCAGTCCAATCCACTCGGATGGATCCATATTCAACCGTAACATGCACCTGTATGAGCACTCGAGTTGATTTTGCTCTTGATTCTGAACAATGAACCATCAATTTTCCTGAACTATTAAGTTCTATTCATGCAGAAAGACATAAAATAATTAATGCATTAGTTTAACTCTTACCGCCGAATAAGTGTTTCCTTCTATATGAATGAACCTGATCCTTCCTTTGTGTTTGTGTTAGGCTGCAAAAGCTGCTCTCCTGAATTTCTATGACACTCTCAGGCTCGAAGTAAATGATGAGGTTGGAATAACGATTGCAACACATGGATGGATCGGAGGCGAAATGACAAGTGGAAAATTTATGCTTGAAGAGGGAGCTGAAATGCAATGGAAGGAAGAACGAGAAGTAAGTATCAACTAAACAGCTGCAATATATTTTGAAAGTTTACATGATTCAGGTAAAGCAAGATTAACTGATTGATCCGAAACTAATTTGGTGATCACATAATTTGGATTTAAATTAAGAAAGATTATCGTGATTGCGGATGCAGTCTAATTAAAGCGTTGCCATCCTGGGAATGTAATTCATGTATATATTAAATTGGTACAGGTACAAGCAAGTGGTGGGCCTGTGGAAGAGTTTGCAAGGCTGATCGTTTCAGGGGCATGCCGGGGAGATGCATATGTGAAGTACCCGAGTTGGCATGACTCGTTCCTCCTCTTTAGGGTGTTTGCACCCAAAGTACTTAACTGGAGTTTCCGGCTTCTACTGTCGACTCATGGTACAAGAAGAACATCGATGGTGGGTGTTGGAAAACTGAAGGCTGAAGGCAGCACAGCTAGGTATACGATGGAGAGCACTTCTCCTAGGAGGCTTCCTGCAGGTCCGATAACCTTTTCGCAGAAGATGGAGTAGCGGCATCAATGGCTGCCACGTCTTGAGTTGAACTTTGCTTTGTTTATTTAATGTGTTGTGAATTGTTCGGTTCGAATTTGGCACCATGTTTTCATATAAAGAACAAGTGTTGGATCGTATCGGCAAAGTATGTCCTAGTTAGCAGAATAAGCCCCGTGCAAATGTATTCAAGTGCATATTGTTTTCATTTGTTGCCATGGATTTGGAATAATGCATTACTCCAGTTCTGTTTCATCAATCCTTGAAAAATTACTAATTAAGAATATTTTTTTATTCTTATATATATATCTGTGTTCATATGATAATCATGTTGGTGAACGGCGACGGATTCATTACTTCCTGAGCTTGAGTAGGTGTCCCTCGAATTTTTTCGAACTTATTTGATTAATTTTTTATTGATAATATTTACTTTGAAATTTTATATGTTTATTTTATTTTAAAATATACATATTATTAATATATATGTTTATTATGGATGATTCTGTGTACTTTTGTACGGAACAAGAGGGGAAAGCATGTCGGCCATTGACAAAATCGTGCGTTTAAGCTTTAAGCTTTAGTCAAAAACATGCGCATAAGAGTGGACCGATAAATTGGATTTTGAGTTCCAAACGTTTCATATTTCAAATTTAAATTGTATTACCTCAAGTGCACGTGCACGTATCAACATTTTCCTCAGTTAAAGTATCAAAAAGAAAAATAAAATTAGTAAAAACAGATGATTAATTTTTTAAATAATTTATATTTTTTCTCATTTATTTTTATCTTCAAAATTTACAAGTTTTAATTTAATTATCAATTTTTATATATTTATTTTTTAAATTATTAAAAAACTACTAACCGTAATTGATTTGATGATATAAAGATAAAATAAGATTAGAAAAATAGATACATATTTTTTTAAAAAAATGAATAGTAATAATTCTTATATAATATTGTATATTTATGGCTTGCACCATAATCGAACTCTCAAAGATTATATATATATATATATATATATACAAGATAGTTTGTAACACTCATTTCCTGTATATGTTTCCGTACACTCATTTGTAAAACTCATAAAATTTTGTTTTAAAATTTAAAACCAAAAATATTTTAATACAATAATAAAACAGTCGTTGAAACCTATTACTAAAGTTATCACTTTAAATATATTATAGAGTAATTTTTCTTAATTTCGATTACAATCCAGTAATTTTTCAAAATAACATGATTGTCCTACTGTTGCTGATGAGAGTCAATCTTAGATTGATGATAGCTGCTCCTGCTCCACTATCTGACTAGTCTTTGTTGTTACCTACGCGTGAAATCAACACACGTTAAGTATATACTTAGTGAGACATAATATTGTAAAAAATCTGCAATTTATACATAAGTATCTCATGACTATTTAATGACGAACTAAATCACATACTCCATAAGGATCAAATAAATAATTCTCAGTTAAACCAGATTTTTCTTTCATACAACCATCGAAATTATTCTTAGTAGTCCCATCATACCTATTCTTTTGTATATTTTTCCCAATTATTCTTTATTTGCCCTATGTACATTAAGTGAGAAAGTAATGTATATGTATTACACTAAAGTGCCAAATGGTCCTTTATATACCGTTAATATACCGCTATGTATTTTCATTTGTGGTATCCTTTAATGACAATTATGAACTGTTATACATTTTCATTTATAGCATCCTTTCATATCAATTATGAATTGTTATACATTTTCATTTATGACATCATTTCATACCAATTATGCACTGTTATACATTTTCATTTATGACATCCTTTCATACCAATTATGCACTGTTATACATTTTCATTTATGACATCCTTTCATACCAATTATGCACTGTTATACATTTTCATTTATGGCATCCTTTCATGCCAATTATGCATTGTTCTTCATCTAACTTGTATTAGTGACACCTTTATGCCAAATGCACAGTTAGACATTTAGTCTTTTATTTTAGTACAATTTATACTCTAATAGTTATTCATAATATCAATTAACTCTTTCGATTCATTATAAACTCTATAGTTTGCACACGTAGTGACAATACGATAATTCACAAACTTATTATAATTTATGTGGGTTGCACATCCACTACCAATACGTTAATACATAAACTTGTTATGAATTTCTTAATTTTCACACAGTGTCCATACAGAAATTCATAAACTTATTATGAATTTCTTAGTTTTGCACATAAAGTGCCTATACAGAAATTCATAAACTTATTATGAATTTCTTCGTTTTGCACACAGTGCCCATACGGAAATTCATAAACTTATTATGAATTTCTTTGTTTTGCACACACATAGTGCCCATACGAAAATTCATAAACTTATAATGAATTTCTTCGTTTTGCACACACAGTGCCCATACGAAAATTCATAAACTTATTATGAATTTCTTAATTTTTGCACACACAATACCATTTGGTAATCGCCATACATATATCAAGCAATCATACATTTATGATTATCATAACATATAGGTACATAATAAATGCACTCACCTGACTTGCCTCGCTATTATATCCAAAACGCAAATCTGACTACTCAACTACTTTATCTTTGCCTTTCGTTTGGCTTGACTCGGGAGTTTGATTATGATCTACATAAGCATCCATTAAGGACATATACCATACTAAATGTTAGTATATTCCCTAACATTTATACTTTAATAAGATTCACAAGTACTATTATTTAAATTTCTATAACAATTTCAACTTATCTTATAATTTCTGTCTCAATAGTATCGGTACCCCTACCATGGTATCGATACTTCTATATTTGTGGTACCGATACTCCTTTACAGTATCGATATCATTTTTGCATTCTACAATCAATGGTATCGATACCTTCTCCATAGTATCAATACCCCCTCTCAGTATCGATACTAATTGCATCATATCGATACTGTTTAGCTGATTCTTCCAATTTTAAGCCTGTAGTATCGGTACTGTTTTATCAGTACCGATACCCTTACCCAGATTTTCTATTTTTCAGCCCGATTCTTACCCAAATTTGGTCAAATTTCCTTATGTTTACAACCAACAATACTATTAAAGTCTTCCCTACTTATCCCTACTAACTTTCCTTCATTTAACTTCTTAAAACATCTAAAATCTCCCAAGAACATTTTAATCTAAGAATCACACCACTTTTTCTAACATGTTTTTAAACTAATCTAATGCTTCTAATCTCTCAGTTATTTCTTTGACAAGTCAAATATTCTAGTAAACATAAATAAAAACTCATATCTTAACATATTCTTCAAAAACCTATTTTCTTAAATCTTCAATATTTCATCTATCTCTTAGTTTTGATTCTATTTAATCATTCCTTAAGCCTCTATAATACTCAATACTTCAAAAACCAACCAAAAATGAAAGAAGAAACTAACCAATGAAACCTTACTTTTAGCTATGGGGGAGAGTTTTTCCACGGGAAAGAAGAAAATAACTTAAGTTTCTTTAACTTTCCCACTTTTTCTATACTTTAATACCTTATTAAAAATGAATATTAAATTCATTTTCCTTTAAAAGACCAAAATGCCATCTTCATTCATCTATTGATACAAATTAGTCTAAAACAATATTCCAAATCATTTTCTCATTTTTATCATTTATTCAAAGAAATCCTCAAATTTTAAAACTTTTCACTAAAGTCACTGACCTAATATTTGAGGTATTACATAGTATATGTTCAAATACTCTCAATTAATTAACTATGCAAGCTTATATCTATGTCGGTGTTCAAACCCGTGATTTTTAGAGAAAATAACAAGTTCTTTAACATTTAAAGTATCTCTATCGGTGCTCGAACATGTAACTTTTAATGAAAATAACAAGTCTTTTAACAACTAAGGTAAATTAATGCGTACAACTCTCAAAGATTAAATTACAGTTTTATTGCATATTTATACTATTATAAGATTGCCTAAGCTACCTTAAAAACCTTGTAATCTAAAGTCTAAACATCTAACTCTACCTGCTATTACTGTATTATGGATATTCATTTTTTACAATAAATTATCCGTAAAAAGAAAAGAGAAAAAGGCTCAGATGGTCGTAACGTAAGCTCAATCCCCGATCCGATGACTAGAGATAATCTTCAACGGAAATGCTCAAACCCTCCGTTTCTCTTCCTTCACTTCTTCTTTCCCTGGAGCCGCCACTAGCATCGTTCGCATTCGCCGTGATCTCATTGTTGACTGAGCTGTCGGCTGTAATCATTTGAACGTCGATTGCCATGCCAGCATCCGTCGCTGCTTTCTGTACGGACTTGGGCGACATGTCTGAATTAACATACGGAGGTAACAACGAAGGGAAGTTGAGAGCGGTTAATGATGATGGTCGACGGAGACAATAGAAAGCAATGTCGTGGGCGACGGCAGCGGCTTCCGGAGTTGAATAAGTCCCTAACCAGAGGCGTCCTTCGGTGCCGGGAACTCGAATTTCCGACACCCATTTCCCCCATCTCCGGCGACGGACTCCCTTGTATTTCTTTTCGTCGGCACTCATTATTGCAAAAGAAAAAGCAGATAAAAAGGGTTACTGGAGTTTGAAGAAAAGTGAGGAAAGGGGATGGAAAGCGTAGATAATATAGGTTGAAGAAGCACAGAGTCAAAAGGAGGAGTTTTAAGGTAGAATATGAAGATTAAAGGACAAGTCAAAGATGATAAGCAAGGTCAGACGAAAGTGGACTGTACCTTCTAGAAGAATTGTGAGTTTTGGTGTTATGGCTCAAGTTGTGTACTTGTTCTTTCAAATTTCTGGAATAGCTAGGTCGGTCCATGGAATAATTTTTATTTTTCAGGTAAATTATAGTGTTAGTCCCTTTTATTTTCAGTATATCTAAATTTTGGCGAGGACAACTTCTAACTTATTAAGGACATGATGATTTCTATTAAAGTTAGGATAAACTACACATTTAGTATTTAAACTATTAGTTTTATATGTTTCAGTACATAACTTTCAATCTTTTAATAATCATACATAAAGTTTAGTTTTTGTTTCATTTTTAGTACCAAAACTTAAGTATTGAAAAAATTGAAAGTTTAAGTACTAAATTACGTTTAGTACCTAATCCATACTTAAATTTTGAAAAAAAATGAGAGTTTAGGTACTAAAACGACTAAAACAAAATAGTTTAGGTACTAAACGGGTTAAGTTTTTAACGACAGGTACTAAAATGAAACAAAAACTAAATCTTAGATATGATTTTGAAAAAATGAAAGTTTAGATACTAAAATGGATCAAAATTGATAGTTTAGGTACTAAATTGTAATTTACCTTCAAAGTTATTATCAACTTTAAAAACTATTTTTTAAATAATTTTATATTTAAAGTATTTTTCTAACATTTTTTCTTATTCATTATATTTCCGTAAATAATTTTTTATTATTATTGATCATTTATTATTTGCTGGTATAAAACATTGATTCATCGTCGATCGACCATCGATCAATCACAATTTCATACGGGTTTTGGTCGCCAGGGGAGGTGAGGCAAGGTAGAGATTCGTCGACGGCAAAGGATGGTAGTCGGCGTGAGTTTAGGGATTGAAATGAATGTTTTTAAAGTTTTGGGTTTATTTCAAAATTTATGTGTTTTCATTTTAAATATATATATATATATAATTATTTTTAATCTTATATAAAATTTCTAAAATTATCAGATTGTTACACATGTCACTTAAAGGAGAAAATTAACGTCGTTGACAGTCTGGACACCTAAAATAGTAACGTTTGTAACGTTAGACATCTGGATGGACAAAAAAAATATTGAGCCAAAATTATTTACAAGTTTGCAGCTAATGTTGAATGATGGTGAATCTAATTGAAGGCATTTGTAGCAGCATACAAGAAGTCCAAGAGACCTTTACCAGTCAAGAGCTCGAAATCCAGCAAGAGCAGGAAACCGATTATAGCCGCCTTCCCGTTTATAATTTCGTTCTTTCCGATGAAACCAAACCCCTCCGAGTCCTCATCAATCAGCATTCTCATCTGAAGAACCGCGTACAAGAAGATGATCAGACGAGTCAATTGCATGCTTCTAATACTCTGAGTTTGTTAAGCTTTATAAACGAGAGCAATGTGTTACCTTGTCCAGATTGACATCAGAAGCAGTTACCCCCGGTTGCGCCTTTCCACTGAAGACGATCTCTGCGGCTGCATCGGATTTTACACCGCCTTGCATGCTGATATAAATATTTTCACCGTCTGTTTTTACAGGGTAAACGTAGAGTGTCCTTAAAGTAGGTGTAAGGGCTCGAAGCACTGGGTTTTTTGGATACCATTCCTTGGTGGCTCCGTTTCGAAGATCAAATGTGCTATCTGTTGTTGGACAAACTATACAACCATCCTGTAAAAGGTACAATCACACATTATCTGTTCATCAATTCTGAAAAAAAAAATCTGAATTATCTGCTTAAAACTGAAAGCAGTAAAAATCTGGGGTTTAAACCCCTTATTGCCAAACCATTGTTTCTTTAAATTTTCATGATTAGACAAGTAATGAGGGTGGGTGGGTTGGGGACCTGGGTAAGCTTGGCGTTGAGCAAGCCCTCCGTGTAAGCGCCTTCAGCGGGCGAACGATTCTCAATTGCAAAAACCTCATCCTTGTACCAAAGCAATAGGATGTTATCCCCGTCTTGTATGATCACACGCCGCTCTCCATTTGGCAGCGCCGCCAGCGGGACCACCGGCACCCAGTTCTCACCACCAGAAACGCCGCCCGAAGCCACTGAATGTTCGCTCACGGAAGGTATTTCCGTCGATTTGCAAGTGATTCAACAGTTATTGTTGTTGGGAAATCGGGTTATTTCCCATACGAACGTAGTTTCAAAATTGATTTGAAATGTCAAGATCAAAACTATTAAATTTGCACAGCGGACAAATCCGTCAAACTATTGAATATTGAAACACAATGTAAAAACCCAATAAAGAACAATAAAAGAGATAACACACCAAATTTACGAGTTTCGACGAAAATATCGTTTACTTATCGGACACCACACCGGATGATAACTTCACTATCAACAAATAATACAACAAATGAAATTCCTAAAGTGAGAGAATGAAGAAAACAAATGAAAGAGAAAACTTGTTTTTGGGATGATTTCTAATGGAAATACTTAGGCCTATTTATAGTTAAGTTTTAAGGATTAAACTTATAAATAACTTAATATTTAAGAGATCAAAGATGAAATTCCCATGTGCACAAGTTGACCACTTGCCAACTTGTCAACTTGCCAGCCTTCAATTTGCCAACTTGCCAATTTTAATGTAGTGCCTCTAATTGCTGTAACACCCATTTTTTGTATACCCTTCCATACACGAGATATGAATGTTACATCAATTTAAAAATAATATTTTTCATTTAAAAACCCGTAAAACTTTGTTTCCAATCGATTAACCATAAAATAAGATATTTTGTTAAATCAACATAATAAAATCTTCACTTAATTACATTACAAAATGTTTACCATAGTTTAATTACATGCCAACTAAGTTCTTAAATTGAATAAGATTGTCCTATCGTTACTGATAAGAGTCAACCTTAACTAATGATACTCACTGCTACTGATGCACTCCTTACTCAATTTATCTCCATTTTTACCTACACGTGGAAACAACACACATTAAGTATTTACTTAGTGAGACATAATATTATAAAGTAACCCTTTTATATATATATAAGTATGTCATTTCTATTTAATTTGTACTAAATCGTATATTCCTTAATGATTCTATGATCCTCCTCATTGAAACTGTATTCCATTCTCAATTATCTTAAGTATTTTAGTATGCCTAACATACCTATCTTTCTATATATTTTTCTTCAATTATTTATCTATTTAGTCCTAAACATTTATTTTCATTGATAGCATCCCAACATGCTTATAATACACCCTTATACCATTTCCATTATGACATTCTTTCACGCTTTTATACACTATTATACATTTTATTTATGACGTCCTTTCATGCTTTTTATGTTCTATTTAAGCTTTTCTTTATAGCATCCATTTATATCACAATACATTAAAATTCCTTTATTCTCTTACTCAACAGTGTTTAACCCTTTATCTAACTGGCATAATTGACACTTTTCTGCCAATTGCTCAGTTAAACCATTATTCTTTTACTCAACAATACTTAATCGTTCATCTATCTGACATAATTGATACATTTTTGCCAGTTTCACAGTTAGGCTTTAAAGACACTTAGTCTTTCATCTAACTGACATAATTGACACATTTCTGTCAATTTCACAGCTAGGCCATTACATCTTTTATTTGGAATAGTTTCTATTCTAATACTTACTTTTAATATCAATTAACTCTCTTTTATTATAAACTTTATACATTCACACCCTTAGTGCTCACATGGTAATTTACCAGCTTCTTATTTCTGTTCATTTATTAAGATGCACATGTAGTGCTTATACCGTTATTCCTCAACCATTCTATAATCTATGTGGTTGGTATACCCATTACCAATATAAAGATCCATTTTTTTCTTATTATGAAATTCTTATGTTTATACACATATATTTCTTATACGAAAATTCATAGACTTAATATATTGAAATTGTTGCCATGATTCATTCTTTTCGTTTGTAACCTCCATTTATGTTTATAATACATCATTATACATTTTAAACTCTAACATTTTTTCTTTTGATAATGCACCAATATTCATTTCAAATATAGTATACTTTTATGTTGATAATGTACCCATATACATCTCAACCATAGTATACTTTTCTGTTGATAATGTACCCATATACATTTCAACTCTAGCATACTTTTCTGTTGATAATTCACCCATATGCATTTCAACTCTAGTATACTTTTTTGTTGATAATGCACCCATATGCATTTCAACTCTGGCATCCTTTCATGCCAATAATGCACCCATATACATTATTCTATTATGCCGATAATGTACCCATATACATATCAGTTAAGGCATCCTTTCATGCCACTAATGAACCCATATGCATTATTCTTTTATGTCGATAATATACCCATATACATATCAACTAAGGTATCATTTCATGCCACTAATGCACCCATATGCATTATTCTTTTATGCTGATAATGTACCCATATACATATCAGCTAAGGCATCCTTTCATGCCAATAATGCACCCATATGCATTATTCTTTTATTCATTAGTTTTAGAGCATTTCATACTCTAAAACTTATGAATAAAATTACTTTCATACCTTAAATAAAACTTAGTAAATATTGTAAAACATACTTTACAATTTAAACATTTTAATTGTATAGATTTTATACAATGAATGTACTCACCTCACTTTCCTTGCTATGTATCCAAAACGTAAGGCTAATTGCTCCGATATTTTGCCTTTACCCTTGGTTTCGATCTATCCCAAATTCATTACATACATGCATAATATCAATTGTTAGTCTATTTCCTAACAATTATAACTTAAACATTAATCAAAATACTTAATAGGTTATCGATACCACTGCTTATAGCATCGATACTACCCTATTAGGTTATCGATACCCCTTCATATATCGATACCAAAATTAGGTTCAATTTTACTTGGTATCAATACCCTCATCATAGGTATCGATACCATTTCATTAAGTACCGATACTGATTGAATCATTATCGATACTTCTCAAACGATTTAGCCTAATTTTTGCCTATGGTATCGGTACCACTTCAATAGGTACCGATACTCCTGCCCAGATTTTTCAGTTTTAACCCAAAATTTGCCCAACTTTGGCCAATTTTCCTTTCATTTTCCCTTAACAATACTATATAACACTTCTCTACTTAACCCTACTTTCTTTCATTCATTTAGACACTTAAAACATCCAATATCTCTCAAATGCATTTGATTCTAAGAATCACACCACAATTACTAACTTGTTATTTCACTCAACCAATGCTTCTAATCTTTCATTTACCTTAATGACAAGTCAATTTTATCAACAAACCTCAACAAACCTTCATATATTAACATATCATGATAAAACCCATTTTCTAAAATTTCCCATATTTCCTCCATTTCATAGTTTTAACCTTATTTAATCTTTCATTAAGCTTACATATCACTTGATGTTACCAAAGCAACCCATAATTTAAAGAAAGAACTAGTTATGATAAGTTTACCTTATGCTTGAGAGGAGAGCAAGACCAACGAGAGAAGAAGAAGAGTAGGAAATGTTTTTACTTTTCTCTTTTCTCTTTTCTCCCTTTACAATCCCTAATATATATTTATATTTTGAATTTCATTTTCCCTCTTAAAAGACCACAATACCCTCTTAACTTATCTATTGTCACAAATTAGCCTAAACATTATTCCAAATTATTTCCTCATCTTTTACCAATTATTCCAATAGATCCTCAAATTCTAAATCTTTTCAATAATGTCACTGACTAGATATTTGGGGTATTACAATTCTTCCCCCTTAAGAAAATTCGTCATCGAATTTAATGACTTTATACTTTTACTACAACATTTCAGCTATAAGACTTGTTTTATTACTTAGTTTCTGGATTTCTCGAATCCAGATTTTTATGAGTTCTTTTTCATAAAATATTTAACCGAATACCCATTTCCCAAAGTAAGAACATGCAATAATTTGATTGGTCATTAATAAGCAATGACACATGAAAACATTATAGGTCTTATCCATTTCGGGAGACAAAAGCTAATTGATAAAATCTATTAAGGTTTATTAATTCTCTAACTCAGTCCGAACCACACAATATTTCCTTTCAAAATAATACCATCAGGAAAACTTTATCACTTTCTAGCCACTCAACTACTTTTATCTTTAAATCTGCATAATACTTTTGTAATTGTCACCACTATAGCGTCGCTCACTATACAATTAATGACATCAAATCTTTTAAAATACTCAACTACGGCCGAATCTAAAACATGTATATATAATTCCTATTATGATTCTTTAACTTTATTGAGGCATATGTCAAAACTTTACATTTGTGCATAAGCACACTTCCTAAACCGTTGATATATGCATTAGTAAAAACTACATAATCTTTACCCAACTCAAGTTGTATAAACGCTGGTATTCCTGTTACAATTCTCTTTAGTATTTCAAAACTCTCTTGACCCTTTTTCATGCTCCCAAAAATACATATCTTTCTTTAAAATCTTGGTTAGCAACAAAGTTAACATCAAAAAGTTTTTCACTAACCATCGATAGTAAACAACAAGCCTCAAAGAGATCCAAACTTTAGGATCATTCTTTGGGCTACAACATGAGTTTTTCTTAAAATTCACTCTTATACCTTATGCCTAAACAACATGGTCAAATAAAACTATCTATGCTAACCAAAGTCCATATTTGAATAATTTGGCAAACAAGTTCTTCTCTCGAAGAGTGTGATTTAACTGTCAAAATCTATTTATAACCACATAGATTTATCTTTCTTTTCACTATTAACACACATATTTGATTCACTTGACTCACTTAAGTCATTTAATTACTAAATCATAGAAACATGTTCAATACTTTAATAACTATTAACCTTGAATTCCACCTTTCGTTATGGAGACATCTCAATAAATTTACTTGAAAAGATATAATTTCCCAAATTGTTGTGAAATTATCAAACCATTCTTCTTTAATCATTTGAGTATCTATTACATTAACTACCTGCTCAATTATCGATATCACCTTGAGGGATGATTTACTTCTCACTAAAACTATAATCTTCATAACCTCTGCATTTTTTCTTCTGGAATAATCGTCTTTAAAG